AAACAGCACCACCTTAGACCTCTTCTGAGATAGTGAACATGGTGCATTGTGGTCTAGCTTTGGTACAAACATTGTTTGTCCATCATGCCTTTGATGTTGTTTGTACCACGATGCATCCTGTTTATCAAACTCACAAAAGGCCTATTGCCTTGCAAAAAAAAACTTTTTAAAACTTGATGACCGTTAATCTTGCTTAACTGCAAAGGTGCAATTTTTCATGTGACGTTGCATGCAACATTGCAAACATAAGAGGTTGCTTCATGTGGACTACCTGCTTAACGTTGCATGAAACATCTACTAACAAGGTTAATTATTCTTTCATATTCTCTTTTTTATACATTATCTCGTGTTCTAATTTAAGTACATGTATGTTCATGTTTTTTTGCAGAAAGCAAACATCTGTTTTTCTCATGCACTATTCTAACTCTTGGATTCTTGGAAAATATGCCAAAACCAATGCAATGAGCAAATGAAAAGAAGGTACAAGGTCACTCATACTTACCTTGGAAACCTATGTAACAGTGAATTGACATGTGGCTACAATTTGAATAACTATATCCTTTTTGACTGACTTGCCTCTAATACCATGTCAAAATTCTTTTATGTTTCCAAGTGAACACAAGGCTAGTAGGTCCAGAACAATATATAGTTATTCAAATTGGTTGCCATATTTTGATTTACTGTATACTTGCACTTTTTCTCGTTATTTTATTCATCATATAAAACTAACGTTAAACTTACACATACCTTTAAAATGCTACCATCAAACAGGATTGTGTAGTTCCAGAGATTTCCAAGGGGTAGGGGGAGGGGGGACAGAGTAAGAACAAAATGACAGAGTTTGTATGGAAGAAAATAAGTGGAATTCCTGGGGGTAGGGAGTTCTATAAAAACTTCCTCCCTGGAGGGTATGGATAATTTCTGGAACTACACATTGGTTAATATTCACCAAACTCAATCTACATTACTCTCAAAATTCCTCAGTTTTCTTAATTTTTTCTATCAAATATTAAAAGAAAATAACCAATCGAAATGTAAAGTAAGTCATACTAATTTCGAGCCAATTTCTAAGCTATTACTTCGAAGCGAATATTTTAAAAAAATTTCAATGAATTTCATGGGCAATATCTTTTTTTGGTTAACTATTCATGATTCAGCTACTTGAGCAGTATTCTCTGCATGAACAAGCGAAGATCGGTAGGAAGAACAGGGTTTCAAGAGCCAGGGTTACGATAAAGCGATATCAACGAATTCATTCAACATGACTTGTTATTCACTAGAACTTGACAATATAGATATTCTTATAGCCTATATTTACGTATGTACTTATATTAACTGTTTTGGCTTTAAAGTCTGCAACAAAGGAATATGAGGTGCAAAGCAATAATTATTTTAAGATTCCATTTGATTAAAGAAGTAAAATAAATAATTTGCTAAGCATATTCCAGGGTTTGATCTTTGCCGTCTGAAGTGTTATGATCTCCTTTAATTTTCTTCAAAACTAATGGCAATTCATTAAAAAATATTGATAAATTATAAAATCATAAAATGTAAAGCAATTCTGAGAGAGGTCTTGATCAAATATTAACCTGTTTTTACATTTTAAATGAAAAATATYGATTTTAAAACGAGTAATAAAATTCCCCCGTGATTTTGCATGTCCATGAAACCTTGTCGCGACAGCCTAATTACGTACACCAATATCAGGAACAGAATTGGAATTGGAGTCTGGAGTTCCAGATTGAGTTATTCGAGGACTAATCAGAATGCATTAAAGCTCTGCCTTTTTTGCAACTTATTTCCACTTCTCCTTCAGATTCTTAGAGACTCTGATACTAGTAAACCGTCYCAACCRGGTCTTATTTAATATACTCCGCAAAATTCAGGACAAAAAAGATACAAAATTGAAAACTAGTTGACTACAGATAATAAATTTGTTTTAGCTATATGAATCTATATGGATATATATATAAAATCAATGAAACTAAAATGCAAAAAAATTGATAAGATTGAGATATAATTAATTGCATAAATAATGAATAAATATTTTTTCATGACTCCTCAATCCTTTCCGATTTCATAGTATTAAGAATCTTATGAAAAAATCTAATTTATAAAAAATGTATGAAATGTATAAAAAATGTATGATTTGGAAATTTGGCTGCATCCACATGGCAAAAACAGTCACAAAAATAARCATTTCAATGATTATCTGATTTCCAATAATGTAGTGTTAGCAATACACAGACTCTCTCCTGTTCACATTTTCATTGTGAATACRTTATAATTTTGAGTAACAGTTGACTAAAAGGTTTTTTCAGCACAACGTGCTAAGGTATGACCACATTAACATATTTGCATACTTCTATGCACAGGCATTTGGCTGCCAAAGGAACTTTACATTTACATGCCTTATTTGGTAAAACCAGCCAGCTTTGCATCGAAATGTGTGGGTAGTATATGAATGCATTAAATGTGGTCATACTTTTGCCCATTGCAATGTAAGAAACAGTTGTGAAAAGAATATTCATGTCTCGTAATGTATATCATTAAAAAAAGCAATCAGTTTTTGTGAATGCCAGTTTTTTGCATGCCAGGATCATATCGAGAACCTTGTGAATGACAGACCATAGATGGTCAGCACCAGTTCATTTACAGTGAAAGCATACGTCAC